TCCATACTCAGGGCCCCGTCCAGCCCAGGCACCTAAGCCGATGGCTGCCCAGGTGGCCTTGGGGGAGCCTCCCATCTCCAGGCTCGCCCACCCAGCGGCACTGGGTGTCCCTGGGCTGTGAGGGCATGGGCAGCTCCTAGGTTCCTTGGGCAACCCCCTAACCTCTGTGTGGGGGGCCAAGGAGCCACTGTCGTCTGGTGTGTATGAGGCGTGGGGGGGGCCCAGGGGATACAAAACTGGTCAGAAGCCTCCCCCTTAGGCTTCTGGGCACCCCAAGGACAGTGAGGTGCTGCCTCTTGTGCCTCGTCTGTAGTACGGGGCCCAAGGTGACAGTGCGGCTGGGCCCAGGGCTGGCCACACTGCAGGGACACGGTAGGTGCCCTCTACCATCGTCAGCCTCATGTGACCATCATCATGGACTGCTCCTCACCCAGGGTTCAGCACCAACCAAGCAGGATGAGGGCTCCACCCATGGGTGGCAGCGGAGAAGCCCTGCTACAGTTGCTGTCATCGTCCCCCTTCACCCCTCAAAAGCCAAACCGGTGGAGTAGCTGGGCCTGAGGAGCGGGGAGAAGGGAGACCAGCCTTTTGCCCCTGGCCGCCCAGCACTGGCCCAGGCTCCCGAAGGAAAGGTCCCAGTGCCTCACCCCCGCCTGGCCTCACTGCCCCAAGGCCCACGGAGCAGCCTCCGGGGCAGGCTAGGGGAAGCTCAAGGTCCCCTCCAGCCCCCGCCCTTTGAGTGACCCCTGGGGACTGGCAGACTCACCCCAGGCTATGCAGACTGCCTCCCACGGGAGGTCCGGCCACCATCAGGGGCTGCTAAGGTGGGCAATACCCGGAGGTGACACCCTAAGGGAGAAGGAAGTGCGGGAGGGGCTGTGTTCTGGGGGAGCGAGTGGCTGTGAAGCTTCAGGCCGGAAGGGGCCTTGGCTCCGGTGGCCCCACCGCAGCCCGGATTCAGAGACGGGACCCTCCGGCAGCAGGTGTCTGCCCCCACCCTGGCCTGCTGCTGCCCCCCGCCCCACCCCACCATCCCGTGTCTGCCCTCTCCAGTCCGGGCAGACATGTGGATTTAGAAGCCGCCTACCTCATGGGGGTCGAGACCCTCTTCTGCGTCACATACTCATCAGGAAGCCTGCTGAGGACACAGGAGCTCGCCCCAGAGGAAAGCAACAGAGGGGACGAAATGTGGAAAGAGCCACTGGCCTGAGCACCCTCTTCCCCCGCCCCGAGTCCCCTCCCTCGTAATCACCCAGGAACCCCCCCACACACATACACACACAGTGTTCCTCCCCTGTCCCCCCCACACACACACACGCACTGTGTTCGCTAGAGCCGCCTGGGCTGGATCTACCCGATTCTAAACCAGTGTAAAGGCCACCACACCGCTTGGCCGAGACGACCAGTAGGGGCTGAGTCCTATCCAGACAATTCCCAGGTGGGAAGCTAATTGTGGTCCTCTACCTACCCACACTGGCTGCCACTGAGGGCCACCAGGGCCACCAGGAGTCTCCAGGGCCAGCCTCCCGCCCCAGCCACCAGAGCACAGAGGGAAACCTCCCACCTTCCAAGCTCCTCACCCAGGCCCAGGTAGGCCAAGGCTCCCCAGGCTTCGCCCCCAGCCTGGCCTGGGCCACAAGCCACCCATAGGGATCTCGTCACCAGCCTCCAGGCCCCTGGGCACGAAGGCATGGGAGGTGGCTTCTCCTAGAGCAGTTCGGCCCTGTGGAAGCTCGGGGCATCCTCCAGCCCTCCCAGGCAGCAGGAAGCACCTGCACCCCGCTGTCTGTGCGTTTCTGCACCGCGGGCACGTCTTGCCAGAAGTGCCCCTTACCACAACCTCACCCCTGGCCGGCCGGCGTCCAACCGTCAGACCCAAACCCATCTCCAGGAGGAGTGAGGGTGAACCACCTGGCAATCGCTGCACCCCCATCTGCGTGGCAGTGCTGCTGTCCCCGCCACCAGCCGCCTGACCCTCACTGCGCCTCGGTGGCCCCATCTATGAAATGGGGACGGTGATGCCTGCCTACCCACCCTTATCCCAGGGACAGTTGAGGGTTTGCACTCTCCCGCAGTGACCCTGCCTCCAGGAGGCTGGACTTGTGTCGCCTTGGGCCCCACCACGCCCTGGACCTGCGGCAGGTGAGGCGTGTCGCCCACTCTGCCCGCAGCTGACGCGAGGAGCCTAGCGCTGCGCCGCGGCGCCACCGTGTGGCTATTCTGGGAACTGCACCACCTGACTCAGACCGCCCTTCCTTTCGCGGAGGTTAACAGCAATTAGGACGCCACCGCCAGTGACAGTTAATAGCGGGCAGGTCTGCAGCTCTGACGCTGATAGGCTCTGTGCTAAGCACGACCCACGTAGATGCCCTTAATTCTCCCACCAGCCTTAGGATGTGGGGCCTATTATTTGTCTTCCCTTACAGATGGGGCAACCCAAGGCCCAGTACCAGTGATAGATGGGGTAGGATTTGACCCCAGGTGGTCTGGCTGCAGAGACTTGGTCTTCATCCCATCCATCTTGTCTGGCCCCAGGGGTTGGCATGAGCCCTCTGCACGTTCAGGGTTCCTGGGGGCTTAAAAAGAAAAGCGTCCAGGCCCCACCCCGCAGACAGATCCAGCTGGCCCAGGTGACTTGTCTATGCGGCCAGGTCTGAGAGCCACTTGCCTTCTCACAGAAAGCCTGTGTTTTTATAAGAGGAAGTGGCTCAGGAGGGTCAGAATGGGTGCAGTGACCCACAGAAAATGACAGCGGAGCCTGGGTAGGGGTCTGGCCCCCCAGTCCCCCAGCCCGGGGTTTTGGCCCTTCCCCCCCAGCCCCCAGCCCTGGGTTTTCAGGACTTGGAGGCAAGCCCAGGCCTGCTGTGACCTGGTTTGTTGAACTACTGAAAGGTCACTGGATGCAAAGGGCCAAGGGTTTGGGTCCGGAGGCCCATCTGGTCTGGCCGCCCCTCTGGTCTGGCCATGTGCTTCGGCTTTGACTTTCTTATCCGCGAAATGGGCTACACTTTAGGGGACTTGGAGACATGTGAAGCCTCAGGCTCAGCAATGGACAGGTGTTTTCTAAGTCAGGGGGTGGCAAAGGCAACTTGAAGTTTCCAGAGCGGGCTGACCCCTCAAGGCCCCTTCATACAATGCCAGGTGTGCCCCTGGAGTGCTGTGGCCTATGGACCTTTTCAATGGACAGTGATGCCCTGTGGGGTCCAGGTCCAGTCATGGCAAGAGGCCAAGGGCATGCAGTAGATAGGGGTCTGGTGTGGGGTAGCTGTGGGGGGGCTGTTGGAGGAACTGTGGGGGGCAACTGGTGAGCCTGAGGGAGAGGCCACAGAGGATGGGGAATGGTCACAGCAGGGCAGGTCCCAGAAGCAGGGCAGAAGAGACAGTGGCATTTGGGTGGCCGTGAGAAGGGGTTGCTTCCAGGCAGGGCAGAGGCGAGAAGGGCTGGGTGGGGCCATGCAGCTTGAGGCAGAGCCTAGGCACAGCATTCTCAGGGCCACAGAAGGTTCTGGGACCCCCCCGCCCCAGGCAGGGGACTGGAAATAGAGAGGGTAAGGTGGAGCTTTACCAGGGCCCACGGCGTGCCCAGGTTGGGCGGGGGGCTGAGGGAGCGGGAGGACCCTCCCTCTGCAAGGACTCTGCCACTAGAGGCATCCTGGAGGCTGGACTGTCTGCCCAGAGGCTCGGGTGAAACTACTCCAGCCTGGCGGGGACCCGGCTCTGCCCTGGGACAGTACACCCGCCTGCGCCGAGCATGTCATTCTCCCCTGCGGCTCAGGGCGCTCGTCTGCCCAATGGGAAGCTCTCTTGGAGCTATCGTTTGAGTCGGCAGCCAGGACCGAGGAGCCGATATGTAGCAAGGGCCGGCCAAGCGCATGCCTCCCTGGCGTGAGGGGCACCTTTCCGGGCAGGTGACCCAGGCGGGGCACAAGGCCAGTTTGTTCTCTCTGCATGGCAAACGCCCAAGTACAAAGGAGTGACTCGAGGCTGGCCCTTCTTCTTGGATGGACCAGTATTTACTGCCCGCGGCCACCCTGAGGCCCTGGGCGGGGAAGGGCTGGCTCCCTCACCCCAGCACTGTGAGGATCCTGTCTCACCAGGGGATGGGACCGGCCGCCTCCGGCCAGGTCAAGAGGGGCGGTATCGTGCCAGCAGGTGAGGGGGATGCCAGGGGCAGAGGCCGGGCACCAGGCGCTCGGCTTCGCCAACTGCCCCCACGAGAGGACCCGGTGACTCCAGGCTCTGTGAGGCCGCCTGGGGACCCGGTGCCCTTGGCAGGAGTGGACTAGACTGCACCGGCCCCAAGTCCAGCTCTCGAAACGCTGCCTGTGCTCCTCGTCTCTCACCACGCCCGGGAACATGGCCTTGCACGTAACACAGAGCCCCCTGGGGAAGGAGGGACGGCCTTCTCCCAAGGGGACAGTGTCTGGGCCTCTCCAGGGGCAGTTTCCGGAGCTGCGACGGCCCTTGGAGAAACCGGCCTCGATATCGGCCCTGTTTTATAGATGAGCAAACAGGCCAGAGCACCCCGGCCCGGTCTGGCTGTTCATTCATGCAGTCAACACATATTTATTGAGCATCGACTTGGGGCCAAGCCCTCCCTCGGTGGGCGTCGGGGGGCCTCAGAGACGAATCACACGCAGACCCCGCCCTCGAGTGTTCAGGGCCTGACAGGCGGCTGGTCACGTCAAAAGATACTCATGTTACAGTGTGGTCAGTGTGGTGTTAGAGGTAGCACAGGTGACCAAGGGAGCACAGAGAAAGGGCCCCTGGCCCGGCCAGGGGAGGCGGGGAGGGCTTCCTAGAGGAGACGATACCTGAAGAGGGCTTTAGGGAGTGAGCAAGAGTTAGGGCGTCCGGTAGAGGGTGTGGCCTATGCGGAGGCTGGGGAGACGCTGGCACACTTGGGTGGCAGCTGGGAGCTGGGCAGGGACTGGTCTGGGAAGGACAACGATTAGCAGAGGAGAGGGAGGTCCAAGGGATGTGAAGCAGGTGGCAGTTGGCAGAGGGTCCTCTAGGAGCCACTGGGGAGGGTGCCCCAAAGGACGCGCACAGGGAAGCAGGGTGGCAGCAGGGGTCTGCAGAGGAGGGTGGGCGTGGGCCCTGCCAGAGGAGTCCGATCCTGCCCCAGGGGCCCTCAACAGGGTGGGGGTGGGGGTGCGGGCTGCCAGCCCCGGGGCTGCAGGGTGCACAGCACGGGGTCCAGCGGCTTGAGCGTGGCCTGCTCCTGCAGCCCGAAACGCTGCCCGGGCACCAGCCGGAACTCGAGCCTTTGCAGCAGCTTGGCCATGACCACCTTCACCTCCATCTGGGCATGGGGGGTGGACAGAGAGGGCGGAGTCAGCGAGTGCAATGCCGCTGGGTCCCCGGCCCCCAGCCCAGGGCGGCCCAGGACAAGACACCACCCCGGCAGCCACTTCTGGGCAGCAAACCTACCCTGGCCTCCTACCTGAGCAAACTGCTGCCCGATGCAGGAGCGGGGGCCCAGGGAGAAGGGGAAGTAGGTGAACCTCGGCCTGCAGGGAGAGAGGTGTCAGAGGGGGCCCACAGCCCAGCGACAGTAAAGACAAAACCAGCCCTTGCTGACAACCGGCATTGGCCGGGGCTGACAACGTCTACAGCTGACGCGGCTAAGCTCTGGCCGGCATTTGCTCATGTTCCCTCCTGAGCTTTCCAGAAGGAGCCATGGTCACCCCCGTTTAACAAACGCGGATCCGAGGCTCAGAGAGGCAGAGCGACTCCCCGAGGCCCCCATGGCACTCACTGGCTTGGCTGGGCGTCTGGGCCTGTCCCTGCATGGGGTTCTGGGCGGCCTGGGTCTGTCCCTGGAGCCCGGCACCCCCTCTGCTCCAGCATTCACTGCCCCCACTCCCACAGCACCCAGAAGGAGCCGTGGCGTTCCCACGACTCTGATCAAACATCAAGGATGAGGCAGGCGCGGTCCCTTGCCCACGTCCCTGGGCTCCCAATATGAGGGCCGTGTTATGGGCACGGCTTCAAAACCAGTCTGAGCCGGGCTCAAGCCCCATCGTGCCGCTTACTGGCTGTGCACCCTTAGGCAAGCTACCTAACCTCTCTGAGCTATGGCGTGCTCCCCTGTAAAAGGGGGCAGGTTGGGGGTCACAACTCCCTCAACGGCAGTCTGGAATGCTACGTGGGCTTGAGGGGCACAGGCAGCTCAGAGAAGAGGCCGCTGGGCCTGTCCTCCCACCAGGCCTCCGCCTGCTTGGGGACAGCTCGAAGACAGACTTACTTGGGTGCTTTGGGGCTGAAGCGATCGGGGTTGAAAGTCAGTGGGTCCTCAAAGTATGTGTCCATCCGCCCCATGACGTAGGTGCTGAACTGCCAGGCAGAGGGTCTGCTTGTCTCTGGTTCCAAGGAGGTCCCCTCACTCCTCCCCCACTCACTGCGGCCACCCCACGGGGCGGCTGGGAGCGGAGTAGTCCCCCGACACCCACCCCTCTACTCCACCCACCCACCTCCGCACCCACCCATCTGGGCCAGTGTGGGATCCCACAGGCCCTAGAAAGTCTCCATGAGGAAGAAAGAGACGGCCCAGTGAGCCAGAGACGCTCCGCTGGGCGTGCGACATCATCCCACGCTTGGCCCCGCCCTGTGGGGGAGCCACAATCATCCCTGCCTGACAGATGAGGAAACCGAGGCTCAGGAGAGAAGTTCATGACTTGCCTAAAGTCACCTGGCAAGTAAGTAGCTAAACAGATTCAAGCTCAGGTTGGCTGAGAGGCCGTCTTTCTCCAGATACTGAGAGTGGTTATTGTTCCGAGTTTCTCTTCAACATCAGGCGTGCTGGGGTTGGGGAGGCTGCAGACCCCGAACTAGCCTTTGACCCGCACTCACGGCACCTCCTGATTGGGGTTAATGCTCTGTGCACTGCCCCCAGGGGCCATGCATACCCTCATGACTCAGGCCCTGGGTGCCAGCCTCTGACTCTTTGCCCTGCACCGAGTGTCTCCCTGAGCGGCTCTGCCCCAGACGCTCTGTGCTGAGAGTCCAGGGCAGCCGGGGTGGAGAAGGGCCGGGAGCCGAACTCTGAGAAGTGCACGGGAGCGTAAGGCGGGCAGGGGTCTGAGGTCAGCAACGAGAGCTGAGTAAGTGCCAGAGATTTTCGTCAGCTGCGTGATGTACATAACCCTGCTGACTCTTCTCAGGCAACTGTGACTCAAGTGCCACCAATCCCATCTTACAAGGATGGCACTGTGGCGCTGAGGCCAGAGATTCAGGGTCACATGTGAGGTGACGCAGCCAGCCCGGGGCAGGGCTGGGATTGGAGCCTGGGTCTGGCCACGTGAGGCCCACGGGCTTGCACTCTGGGTTGTGAGCCAGCCATGGGGACCCGCCTGCCGGACACGAGGGCATTCTAAGGAGATGGTCATTAAGGCCAGGTGGTACTGGTGCAAGCGTGTTTTAAAAAGACGGACAAACAGAATAAAGCACCACGCCCATGGGTGAAGCTTGCGCACGCGCTGAGAAGGCGTGGCAGAGCCCGGGGAGGGGGTCTCCACAGATGGGGCCGAAAGCGCGGCCTTCTCTTCCGAGAAAATAAAAACGGGTCCTGTTATGGGCTGACTTGTGTCTCCCTACAATTCCTATGTTGAGGTCCTAACCTCAGAATGTGCCTGTATTTGGGGAGAGGATCTTTGAAGAGGTAATTAAGTTCAAATGAGGTCGTTCATGTGAGCCTCAACCCAATACGACTGTGTCTTTATAAGAAGAGGAAATTAGGACAGAGACACAGAGGAGAGGCCGTGTGGGGACGCGGGGGGAGGACGGCCATCCGCGAGCCAAGGAGAGGGGCTCAGAGGAACCCGAGCCTGCCAGCACCCTGTTCTCAGACCTCCGGCCTCCAGAACTAGGAGGAAAGAAACTTCTGCCAAGCTCCCCAATCTGTGGCGTTCATTATGGCAGACAAATACAGATCCCTACCTCACACCGCACACGAGTAGATAAGGACTTAGCTTTCAAAAGAAAAACGTGCGATTGTTAGGAGCCGATGTAAGCGAACACGCCGGCCTCAGGCTAAGGAAGGATTTCTCACACAAGACGAAACAGGAGAAGTAACCACGAAAGACCTCTCCACCTCTCTGAGCCCCAGCATCCTCAGCTGCAAATGGGGCACCCCCTCTCCAGAAGCATCCACGGAGATCTCACCCTGGACAGTGTGAATGAGGAGGAAAAGACCTCACCGGGGTATGTGAGGTTCAGGTGAGGACACACAGCACGGCCAGTGATGAGGACGGGGCCGCGACCTCAGAAGAGTACCCCAACGAGCCACCCCGACGGCGCGCAGGCAGGGCCCCTACGCACCAGGAGCGGGGTGTTGCCGGGGACTCTGACCCCGTCAATCAAGGTCTCCTCCTCCAGCAGGCGAAAGGTGCCCCAGGCTGGTGGGTACAGCCTCAGGGACTCTTTGAGAACCTGCAGAAGCCACACGTGAAGTCAGGAGATGCGACGCAACAAGCCCCAGACCCATCTCTGCTCCCACACAGGGCGGTCCCCACGCACCCACATCCACGACCAGGTCCCGAACCCCTTGCAGAGCTAGCTTCGCCTTTGAGTTCAGCCTCTCACGTGACAGAAGGAGAAACTGAGGCCCAGAGGAAGGGGCATTGTGCAAAGCCACAGGGGCAGAGTGCAAATACAGCCCGTTCACGGTTGGGCTGGTTTCCAACCTTGGCCGCATGCCGAAATTACCTGGGAAGCCTGCTGCCCAGGTTCAGCTCCCAGCAACTCTGACGTCATTGGTCTGGGGTAGCCTGGGCATGGGCAATTTTTAAAATCTCCAAGGGGGTCTCACATGCAGCAAGGTTAGAGAACCCTGTCCTAAAGGGTCAGAGAGGCAGCAGGACCCGCTCAGCAAACCACCCACATCCACCCAGAAGCTTCTCCCCAACCCGCACACCTGGGACAGGTACTGCAGTCTCCCCAGGTCCTCATAGTCAAGGTGCCTCTTCGAACCAATGACCTCGTCCACCTCGGCCTGCAGCCTGTTGGGTCAGAGAAGCCAAGTTCCTCTCTAAGCAGAGACATCCCCCGTGAGTTTTAAAAGGGGTGATGGAAGGAAGCGTACCAAGAGGATCTGGGGCCGCCCACCTGCGAACACCGCCTGCCCCGCAGCCGAAGGCAGCCGGGAACAAGCACGTCCAAACCAGGTGCCCACGCGGGCGGGGACAGTGCCCCAGGGCCCTTCACGACGGTCACCCTGTGTTCGCGGCTGGGGATGGGCACTAGGAAATCAGCGTGACACAGAACAAGGTCTTTGCACAAAGCTGCCTATCTCGGCCTGGGTCGCAGCCGCCCACGGCTGGAAACGGCAGAATGAGTGGAGCAGGAACAGCGGCTCGGTGACCCTGATGGCGTGCACTCTAGTCACCCGCAGCACTAAGTCACCCGAGCGGGTTGGGCCACCTCACGCCCATTAGGATGGCTGCTAGCAAAGACGGAACAGGAAGGATGTGGTGGGCAGGTGGCAAGGACGTGGCGCGGTCAGAGCCCCTGGCCACTGCTGGCAGGAACGCGGAATGGTCCCGGCGCACGTGGGAAGCGGTGTGGCATTTCCTCGAAATATCAAGCGAGGAGCCACCGTGCGGCCTGGCTGCCCCACGTCCGGGTGTACGGCCCGCAGCAGCGGCAGGAGGGCCTCAGACACCTGCACCCCCACATTCACAGCAATGTTATTCACAGGAGCCGAAAGGTGGGAGCAACCCAGGTGTCCGTGACTGGGCGGGCAAGGCGTGGGCCATCCACGCAGTGGAGCGTGACTCGGCCTGAAGAGGGACGGACATTCTGGCGCCTGCTACGATGGGGGTGAACCTTGAGGATGTTATCCCGAGTGAAACAAGCCGGTCACAAAAGGACAAATAGCGTATGACTCCGCTTAAATGAGGTACTTAGAGTATTTAAATAGGAGACAGGAAGTAGAATGGTGGGTGGTGGCAGCGGGTAGGGGGCTGGGAGGAGTTGTTTAACGGGGACAGAGTTTTAGTTTGGGAAGATGAAAAAGTTCTGGCGATGGATGGTGGTGATGGGTACACGACAATGTGACATACTTGAGGCCACTGAGCTATACAGTTAAAAATAGTTAAAATGGTAAATTTTATGTTACATATATATATTACATAATACTTTTAAAGGTGGATTTGGGAAGAGGTTACAACGATGTGGGGTGACGTCGTGATAGAATGCATGGCGAGAGTCAGTAGTTAACTGTGAACTGCCTCTGGGTGGGTGGGGGCACCATGGCGGACATCCTCATCATCATCATCAATCATCAGTCATCATCATCATCATCATCATCATCATCATTCTCCTCCTCATCATCATCCTCATCATCATCATCATCTTCATCATCATCCTCATCATCCTCATCATCATCCTTATCATCATCCTCATCATCATCATCCTCATCATCATCCTCATCCTCATCATCATCATCATCATCATTCTCCTCCTCATCATCATTAATCATCATCATCATCCTCATCATCAATCATCATCATCCTCATCATTATCATCATCAATCATCAATCATCATCATCATCATCAATCATCACATCATCATCATCACATCATCATATTATTATCATCATCATCATTATTATCGTTATTATTATTATTACTATTTTAACCTTTTTTCTAATTTTTAAAATAAAGAAAGTATTATTATATCTTTTTAGAAACTCAATAAACTACTTTATAGTCTCGAGAAGCTGCTTGCATCTGCCCTTTTATACTGGTGGCGATAACTAATGGTGGGTAGGCCTCCCCCACGTCCCCGGTGCCCCCGCCCCAGGCCTGGTGGCATTTCAGAGTGCTCTTACGCTTGGCTCACTCAGCCTGGGCAACAGTCCTCGAAGGAACCTGTTTGTGCTTAAAGAAACCAGTGGCCCCGCTCAGATGCCATCTCCCCGGGCAATGCCCTCCTTTGCCAGCCAAAGACGAGCACTCCCTCAGCCCTTCCGCTGGCATCGTGTTGAAGTTCTCACTACCACCCCTGGCCAGGCACTGAATGCGGCACGCGGAGGGAAAGA